TTTATTTGAAGTGCCACCTTAATGCAGCCAATAAAACTCTGACAAGCTATTTATTGGTTATTTAGATGCATCTATTTCAGAGATGTCAAATGTTGAAGAAAAGTGCACCTTATAGCTGATGAAATATAATACACAGATTTTGAAACTGAACTTGGTTAGAAGTCAGAGAGCTTGTTTTATAGTTTTGTAAGTTAACATCAGACGTTAGGCCCTCTCAGGCTGTATCTCTCATATTTTTTAGTAAGTGTGGTTTGGTGCATTGGAGCTCTTTTCGTTTGATTCTATAAATAACCAGACAAAAGCAAAGTGTAACAAGCTAATTTTTAAGTTGCTGGAAGTGACTTTCTAACTTTTACTGATACCTCTGCTTCTGCTTCCTCCCAAGCAAACACGCAGCCACCCTCTTTTCAGCCGTTACCTTTCCCTGTAACAAAATCTGTTCTCCATAAACTCCTGATAGCAGTTATTTATAGCCTCTTGTGAATTTGAGGCAAAGTGTTATAAACTGCCCAAGGATGTTTGCTTTCTAAGCCTTATCTCTAATTATTGGCTAAAAATCTTTATCTGCTTAAAGAACTTTCAGGCCTCAACTAGTCATATGGAACAAGTCTTACATTTCAGGGGGGGAGGGGTGTAGGGTAGGAGTAGCCTCTATGGAAGGCTGTGGACAGATAACTGAGCACCTCGTTTCCTTGCTCCCCTAAAATGTCCAGCCTTACCTACTTGCTAGCTCACCGCCTGTGTCAGGAACAAAGTTCCTGGCATTCTCCTGCTGGCCCTCCCTGCTGACTGTATCTGAAAGGAAAACAAACTCGACTGTAATTACTGCATTTCTGACTAATTTCATTGAATTTTTATCAGGCTTATCTTTCTTTTGATAGAGGCTATTGAATTTTAAAGAAACCCTGTGAAGTAAAGAGTTCTTTTGTACTTTGAATACCTACTTCCTAATTTACCTGTTTTCTAAATCTCTCTGTTTACTGATCTTATTGACTTAAGTCAGGCTTTCCATTTTGAAGACTGTTTGGTAATCCAGATTCTGAGCCTGCTTTTTATAAATTATTTTCAGGCATGCCTAAGCAGATACGTGATAGGGCAGCTTGGCTCTTGGTTAACACTGCAGAAGTACTTGTGGTCTAACTTGAAGATGAAAGCAGACATTTTTCTTCTCAAGTTTGTGATACACTCATCAGTTGTGAATCTGCTGGTACTTTGATGCTCAGTAAAAATGTTAGATTATTCCCATGTTTATAATATCAAGGCTTATAAACAGAGCTCTCCATTGCATTGATGTTGTTTGCTGAACACAAAGCGAGTGGTCTTGCTCAGCCAAAGATGTGCTGTGATATTGCACATGCTTTCAGTGTCATATTAGCTTTGAAAATTATATGGAAAAAATGTATTCCCGTTGCTAAATTTCCTCCATTTAAGCTAATATAAAGTGTAAGGCAAGTATTTATTGTATAGCTCTGCATTCTTTAGAGTAGTGTGTTTGTTGATAGGATCTTAAATAGTTTTCAGATGACATCCCATAAATGTCTCTTGTGCGTTTGATTGACTGACTTTTGGTCTTTGCAGCTCGGGGTGTGGTTTTCTCTTGGCTGTGCCTATCTGGCCTTGGAAGACTATGGAGGCTCTGCGAAGGCGTTTCAGCGTTGTGTGACTCTCGAACCTGATGTGAGTTGGTCTGGCCTTCTTTCCTTATTACAGCTCTTTGATATTTCTAAGTTGTTTGAATTGTTCTGTAGTTCAGAACAGTACTTCCTACGGGTATATAGTTTCAGTAATGCAGGATGAGAAAGTGCTAGAGATCTGCTGTACGTACGACATTGTACCTCAAGTTAACAATGCTGTATCATGCACCTAAAACTTTGTAAAGAGGGTAGATCTCATGTTATGTGTTCTTATCCAAATTTTTAAAAAGAGAGAAAAAGAAAGCAAAAAATCTCAATTTTTCTATTTTATGTTTAAAAGATAACAGTTCCTTTGTGTTGGAGGACGTGACAGAAGGTCACACCTTAAGGTGCATGATTTATAAATCTAGAAATAAATTTCTTCTCATAATAGCTAAGTTGTTCATGGTTTCATCTAGAAAATAATTTTGGTAAAACAGTATTTTAGTCACCAACATACTTTGCTGAAATATACAGCACAGTTTCACACGTGTTTTGTTGTTCACTAACGTGCACTGCCTATGCTAATTGCATTATTAGAAAGTTCTTTTAGTTAATAGTCTTTTAATATTTAACAGCTTTACTGATACGGTAAATAATTCACATGCCATATAGTTCATTTATTTAAAGTATACAATTCAGTGATTGTATCCTATATTCAAAATTGTGCAACCATCACCACAATCGATTTTAGAACATTTTTATTATCATAAAAGAAAATCTCTGTACCCATTAGCAGTCACTCCCATTTCTCTCAAACACATTCCACCTCCCACCCCTTAACCCCCAACCCCAGCCCCAGGAAACCACTAATGTANCCTGGTAGTGAGGCCAGAACTGAGCTTGCAGACTGGGGCTCTTCTGTGAAAGTAAGGTGAAGCCATGCAAGTGAATGAATTCTTTACAGAAAACTTGTTGGAAAACACCAGGCAAAATTCTGAACTTTCGGCATCACCTAGCAGTTGGAGGAAGGTAGAAGAAATACCACCAGTGAAATATGATTCAAGCAAAATACTCCAGAGTTTTGATCAGAGGGACAGAAGGAAACCCAAAAGAAGAGATTCATGGAAACTAAAGGAAGAATAAGTGTCAGTGAGGAGTGTCACATGAAGTGATAAAGTCCAAAGAAGGCTAAGAAGAGGTCATTGGATTTGGAGCTCACTAATCACCTTCAAAACCATCTTCAGGAGATTGTAGAGTGAGCGGCAGGTGAGGAAATGGATCCAGCATCTATAGACTGTTCATTTTGGGAGCGTGTCATAGAGGTGAGAGTCAAAATATGGAGTACTGTACTGAGGAACCTAAAATTCAAGTAAAACTTTCAGCATACTGGACACCTGCTCATGTTTGAAGGCAGTGGATGAAGGAGAAAGTGAATGTTATAAAGAGAGAGGGAAGATCACTTGGGAATATCCTTCCAGGGATGGGTGGAATGAGGAGAAGGGATGAAGGTATTAGCTCTGGAAACAAGAATAATACCGGGAGTACCAAAAAAATGTATACACATCTCTTAAAATGTGTATACATTTTTTTGGCACCCTCTGTATTTCTAATGAGACTGGAAAGAAGGCGAGAGCATCAATATTGTAATTGCAATGTCTACTTATTAAGCACCTTGTATACTCTAAGCTAGAATATAAGTGTAAACTCTATAAACCATTTTGAGGTATTGAGGGGGCACAAAAGAATTGCCTGAAGACAAGGCCTCTTGCCCTCCTGTGGTTTGCATGGGCTAAATGGAGAGAGGAGACAGAGGTAACTGCCAGTGACCAAGCGTTAGAGTAAATAGACAACATGCTGGGGTGCCTTGTGCTGGTGTTACGCATGCATGAGGATTGAGTGGTCAGAGAGGGCCTTATGGAGATGTTATGAACTGGGAGGCGTGGTTGGGATTTGGAGAGGAGAAAAAAATCGGGGACAACATGTTTCAGGAGAGCAGATGAGCAGATGGAAAAACCAACCACGTAGCGAGCAAAGGTTTCTTAGTAACTATGGGTTTTGACTGTTTATTTTTTTATTCAGTTGTGATAATAACAATAGCAGCTAACGTTGAGTCTTTTACTAAGTGCCAGGGACCGTTCTAAGCATTTTTCCTATGTTTTTAATCCTCAACGCTATCCCTGAGCAATTTACTATTTTTACCCTCATTTCACAGATGCAGAAAGAGATGGTTAAGTAATTTGTACCAGATCCCACTGTTTATAAAGTGGGGAGCTGGGACCTGAACCTGGGCTTTCTGGTTCCAGAGCAAGTACTCTTAGCCTTTTCCCTGTTTGCCTCTAAAAGATACTGTCTTATGTTAGAAGCAACGGTGGATTTGGTTGAGGTCAAGTTAGAAGTTATGGAAAGCCTTGAGTACAAGACTTGTCAGGGTTGAACTGTTTTCTTCCTTTAATGAAGAGCCACTGGGGCTTTCGTCAGGAGAAAAGTGAAGTTGTGACTTTGAGGTTTGGGGATGATCTGCACGTGCCAGTGAGTGAGTCTCTGTGAGACCGGGGGATTTTTAGAGAAACTGAGGCACCCTTCCCAGCCCATTCTGTACACAAGACCAGACTTCCACAATAGAATGCTCTGTGATTTTAACTATCCTGGGAGCTTGTACTCTTCTTTGATTCGTAGGGGTTCACTTTCTCTTTCAT